ATTACTACAAGTACACTGGTGAGTTTTTATCTTGTTTTGTTCGTATGCTAGTACCCTGGCCTGGAGTTCTCGTTAGCAAATTCCTATTCCCTGGCGTTTTCTAAACATTCCGTGTAGTACTGAATACATGATCAAGTGAACAAGTAACGAAACAGTTCTGTCCGCAGATTGAGTACATGATCAAGTATTCCGATTTGGGTAGATGTGGAATTTGGACATGTATTTTATAAAATAATTCTATTTTCCCAATAGAGCGTTTGTAGTGAAATGGTTGCCCAAATACAACGAAATTGATTCTGCAGTTCTACAACTTGTACTGAAATCCAGTCAAAGTAAAAATGATTCTTCATGACAGTTGGGGTCAATGAAATCTGATCCAGGCATAACGAATAGTGACGCCTGCCACCCCGAGAACGAATGCCCATTTGGTGGGGGATACCAAAGTACTCGAAAGTGGTGCGTGTTTCAATGTGGCATGGAAGTTTTATAATCATATTATGATCTCTGGTCAATGCAGCATACGATAGCCATCATGAATTGCAGGCCTCGAACGCAACTCAGACCAGAATTGGCAGTTCCCTAAGTTTATAATTCCATGGCCCCAGCTGTGGTTATAGAAGTTCGTTTGCACATTATTCTTATACAAGTAGTCGATAGGTTTATACTGATGGCCACAAACAACGGCAGTTCAAACTTCACTGACGTGTTCATGAGCTTAGAGATTTCCCTCCACTATTTCTGTTGTGCATACAGGTCTGTCCAATATGCATTGACGGTATTGGGTATGGTATCTGCTCTGAGAAGGGAATCGCTGGAGCCACAGTCCAATTATACAGGCTTTCAAGAAACAGAGAGGAGCCATCTTTCCAAGCTGATACCTGATGTGTACCGACGGAATTCTCACGAGATACCTTACAGACTACGTGTGGTGTGTACTTCATAGTACTCCTTCGACTACTATCTAGAATCAAGTCGACTGAAACAAGTTCAAACAACTCTGGCTTCAAACGAGCCGTCGATTAGACAAACAAAACATTCTCTCATATACTGGACCACTCTGACAACTCACGACCTATTCCTAACGATTGCCACCGCTTATAAAATATGTAGAGTGCTGATTGGAATGTGCTCACAATCTCAACAATTCAGTGCTATAATTATTTGAACAATGTGTTAGACATTATTCCAATTTCCTTCCATAAATGTTGTATCCACAGTGCTCCAAAGTTTCTTCGCTCTCTAGCCGCCTGCGAGTCTAACAGTGAAATTGTTAGTTCATATTTATAAGGTGGGAATGTGGGAGGGAGTTGAACATATTTTTATATAAGGGACCTGCAACTGTAATACCACAGTACAGTAGCCGGCAAATGTGTAGAAAACAGAAATGCATGTTCCCATCATTGTACATGGACGGGCGCAGCAGGCCGAAGCTATCAGCCAGAACAGGATTTACAATCACTTAGAGATACTTGAGCTATTCCAGTATTCTCCGTGAGCTGTCCCATTCCACAATGGTTCATGCCATCATTATTTCTGGTAGTATCCATGTGCATAGTTCCAAGACCATCTCGGATTCTTCAGAAATTTGTGCCACGGCAAAAGACAATGCTTGACTCGGTCACTGGGGCAGTCAAACTTCCCATCACAAATGAACTTCAATTTCTCATCTGTTTCAAGTATATGTACTGCCATGACTCGACCATGCTTCATCCACAGCTGGGCGAAAATTGTGTCGTCGAATTCCATAGCGCACCTTCTTGCTGCCATGCAGGAGTATGTTGAGAGAAGTGAACATATTTTTACTAAAAAACAACAGCCACTGAAGAGGATAGCAATAGCCTTGGGTGAATTTCCTGCAGGTACACGTTGTTGGTAGGTCTACTGATCGGTCTCCATATCGTCAAGTTCAGAAATCACCTGTACTACACATCTTGTAGAAGGGATCCTGATCGAATAATTTTCTGGTCATAAAATTCACTAAACTTGAGGGCGAGACAAATAGTCAGTACTCCCCGATTCCGTCAAGGTGCTTTGAAGTCTGGATGCACATGTGATGCTAACAAGCTCCCCGTCGTGACTTCCAGCAGCTTCACTTTCCCTGCGACAGCGGCTATCAATCTCTCTCTCCATCGTCGACAATTATGACAGATTCAACATTCTACATTAATATCAACTGGGTGAATATGTCTCGAGACGAATTTATCGGATCAACAACGCTTCGCTGGAGATAAATTCTCCTCTGGAGGACCTTCAAGGTACCTGGAAGGGTATAGAAGACGGGATCGCTCACGACGTTGAGAGAACATAGAAAACAACCTCCTCTTCGATTGAAAATTGGCCAAAAAGTATGTAAAATGTATGTGCGCAGATGCATTTCCACTGGCAAGCTAATCCCTCATTACGTCATCAGCGCTCGCTCGGCGAAATTCAAAAGTCGTCTTCCTGCTCGACTCGATCGCTTCTGGAGACTCGTTCTTGTTCGAGGGGTCTTCTCTTTCACCTACCTTCGTCTTGGCATCGAAAAATCGCCGTCGAAAATGAAGCCGGAGTGCCCCTTTAATTTATCCGATAGTTTGACTCTCTAGAGTATCCCTACTACATGTATTATATGATAATTTATATTACCAATGCTCTAGACAGCAAGCTGTTTTACAATTATCCTTCTACATGACATTGTATATCTTCTTGACACCATGACTTTCTTTGAAGGTCTTGTAGCTATGAAATGTTATTTGCTGCAGGGCATGTGTGTGTGTGAGTGTGTGTGCATGCGTGAATGTCCCACGCGTGGGTAAATATACAGTTATGTACGTGTTCTGTGCCACACAATT